TGTGTTCTTTCAGTGACATTCGCCTTGCGATTGCCCCTCCTAGGCTAGCACACGCCAGAGAGGCAGAGCTCACTCCCTGTCATCCTGGGAAAACTCTGTCCATGGGAACAGCCTTGCTCACGCAGCTTGTAGCTGCCTCCTGTGACTGTTCCACATCCCTGGCTCTTAGGGGGCTCCTCTCTGCACCCAGTCTTTGGGTAGGCAGTGCCGGGAGAGTCAGCTAGAAGCCCAGAGTGAGTGTGGTCAGTTCAGAGCCTGACAGCCCTCCCTGGGCCAGATGGGACCCTTGGAGCTCCGAAGTCCTGGCCTCCTGCCTCCACCTCACCCCTAGTCCAGCCTGTACTCACTGCTGCTAGATTCACAAACCCCAAACCAGGCTCTCCCTGGGCTTCTGCTGCTTGCACCCCTCCCAGAGCTCCTGAGTGCCTCGTCCTTTGGGCCTGGCTGCCCTTAGTCTGGCCATGTCAACCTCTCTAGGCGCAGAAGTTAGCCGGGCCCCAACCTGACCAGTCTGATGGCCACTCGTAACATCTCCACAACCATGCCTTTGGTCAGCACAGTGCCCTGCTTGCCATCCGGGCATCCACAGCCTTTCAAACCCAGGATGGACTGTCCTCTTCTTAGGTTCCTTCCCAAGCCCTTCCTCCACAATGGGCTTCCTTAGGCTCAGGGAGACTGGTGTCTCCACCGGACAGAGGGCTTCCCAGGGTCGGGACCCATGCCCTGGGCAGGCTCAAGGGGTGTCGCTGATGGAGGACATGGTCTACAGCCACAGCCTCAAGGGCACAGAACACAGGCTGCCAGAGCAGGGCCAGTGTCAGCTCAGGCCCCATTGGTTTTGCCTCTCCTGGCCCCGGCCTGGCTGTTTCCTCCAGACACCTGCCCCAATCACTCGGATCCAGCCCTGCAACTGGTGTGGCAGGAAAGGGAACTCTCGTGGTCAGGGCAGGGTGCAAGCTCTCCCCTGGCTCTCAGCCTCCCCTTTCTTCCACCTTCTGTCTTCCCCTCTGCAACACTGGGAATCGGGGGGAAGATAAGCCCCTCTCAGGCTATGGAGGAATGCAGACCCGCCTTTCCCCAGGAGCAGCTGCCATGGCCACAAGGTCAGGGCAAATGGGCGGGTCTGAGATAGAGCCCTTCTGATATGGTCTGGCTGTGTCTCCACCCAAATCTCGTCTTGAATTCCCATGTGTTGTGAGAGAGAACAGGCGGGAGGTAATTGCATCATGGGGGCAGGTCTTTCCCATGCTGTTCGCATTATAGTAAGTCACACGAGATCTGATGGTCATTATAAGGGGGAGTTTTTCTACTCAAGCTCTCTTGTCTTGTCTGCTGCCATATGAGACGTGCCTTTCATCTTCTGCCATGATTGTGAGGCCGCCCCAGCCACATGGAACTGTAAGTCCGATAAACCTCTTTCTTTTGTAAACTTCCCTGTCTCTGGTATGTCTTTATCAGCAGCGGGAAAACAGACTAATACACCTTCCCTCCTGGAGTTGGCCTGGAGGAGCAGAGAAGCAGAAAGGGGCATCACAGTGGCGGCAAGAACAACGATCTCTCTGCCTTATTTATTTACCTATTTTTTGAGACAGGGTCTTGCTGTGTCACCCAAGTGGAGTGCAGTGGTGCCATCATAGCCTGACCTCCCGGGCTCAACTGATTCTCCCACGTCAGCCTTCTGAGTAGCTGGGACCACAGGTATGTGCCACCACATCTGGCTAATTTTTTTTTTTTCTTTTTTTGAGACGGAGTTTCACTCTTGTTGCCCAGGCTGGAGTGCAATGGTGCAATCTCAGCTCACCACAACCTCCGCCTCCGAGGTTCAAGCAGTTCTCCTGCCTCAGCCTCTCAAGTAGCTGGGATTACAGGCATGCACCACCAGGCTTGGCTAATTTTTTTTTTTGTATTTTTTTAGTAGAGATGGAGTTTCTCCATGTTGGTCAGGCTGGTCTCAAACTCCCGACCTCAGGTGATCTGCCCACCTTGGCCTCCCAAAGTGCTGGGATTACAGGCGTGAGCCACTGTGCTCGGCCTTTTTTGTATTTTTTTAAGCAAATTTTTGTATGTTTCGTAGTGACGGGGTTTCGCCATGTTACCCAGGCTGGTCTTAAACTTCTGGGCTTAAACAATCCACCCGTTTTGCCCTACTAAAGTGCTGGAATTACAGGTGTGAGCCACTGTGCCCAGCCTATTTTTAATTTTTATTGTTTTTTTTTTGAGACAGAGTCTTGCTCTGTAGTCCAGGCTAGAGTGCAGTGGCCATAGCTCATTGCAGCCTCACACTCCTGAGCTCCAGTGATCCTCCCACCTCAGCCTCCTGAGTAGCTGGGACTACAGATGCACACCATCATGCCTGGCCAATTTTTAAATTTTTAGCAGAGACAAGGTCTTGCTTTGTTGCCCAGACTGGTCTTGAACTCCTGCACTCAAGCAATCTTCCTTCCTTGGCCTTCCAAAGTGCTAGAATTACAGGCATGAGCCACTGCACCTGGCTCTCTCTGACTTTAGAACAATGTTTAACAAGAATTAAGTTCTTTCCTCACAGCTGCTCTGCAAGAATGTCAGAGCAGGTTTGGCTTCCCTGTTTGACAGATGGGGAAACTGAGGCTCAGAGAAGATGTCTTGCCAAGGGTCACAGAATGGGTTAGGAGCAGAGCTGGACTGGAACCCAAGGCATGTGCCCTCCAGCCTGCTGCTAAGAGCATTCCAGGATCTCGCTATAAGGGTTACTATGCCTGTGATGGGTAACTCTTGTGCTTTGAAAACATTTTCATATACATCAGTTGGTGGAATCCACCCAATTTTTCTGCAGTGTCAATGAAGTTCAGGCATTTTATATTTATTTGCACAGAGGATGCTATCGAGGCCCAGAGAAGTTAAACAATGTATCCAAAGTCACTCAGCAAGAAAGTAGTCGAACTGGCACTCCAACTCTTGGGTTTTTAGCCTTTCTCTTTCCCTACAGGGTCCCAAGACCCATTTACTCTTTCAGGAGGGAGTCCTCCTCTGCACAAGCCTAGGGTTCTGCCTCAAGTTTGCCTACCTTCCTTCAGTGATGTCTGCAAAACAAGCCCGGGCCTCTGTGAGCCTTGCAGGGCACACAGGACCCTCTGCCACCCCTATTCACCATAGGCCTGAGACATGGACGTCAAAGCCACTGGGCTCCTGAGCCCCACTTGGCCCCTCACTCATAGCGAGCAGAAGACCCTGAGATCCTGCAGACCTTGATTTTTGTTTTCAAGGGCTCCCCTGGCCCTGGCTGTCCTCATGCCTGTCTACCTCTGCTCTGGACACATTTGTTTCCTTTTTTTTTTTTTTTTATGAGTTGGAGTTTTGCTCTTGTGGCCCAGGCTGGAGTGCAGTGGCACGGTCTTGGCTCACTGCAATCTGCACCTCCTGGGTTCAAGCGATTCTTCTGCCTCAGCCTCCTGAGTAGCTGGGATTACAGGCATGTAACACTACCTGACTAATTTTTGTATTTTCAGTAGAGACAGAGTTTCATCACATTGGGCAAGCTGGTCTCGAACTCCTGACCCCGGGCAATCCACCCGACTCAGCATCCCAAAGTGCTGGGATTACAGGCGTGAGCCATTGTGCCTGGTCTCTGGACACATTTCGATGTGCTCCTCTGAGCATCTCGCCTGGCCTTCCTGCTCTCTGAGCCCACAAGCCCCAGGGAGGAGTGGAAGTGCCAGGATACCAGGGCCCAGAGGAGATACTGAATCTGCCCTAAGGTGAGGAAGTCAGTCCAACTTTCCTCCAGGGGCCCTTGACCCTCTGTGCGTCTGACCTATGCCGAGGGATGGGCTGGCCCTCATGCTCCTGGAGGCTTTGCAGGGAGGAGTCCTTGCTTCTGGGAGAACGGGAGTCCACTTTGGCTTAGCAGGGTCCTCCGGAGACCCAGGGCACGGCCCAGCTGCCAGCCCTTGGAGGGGCCTCTGCATCTCTGAGGTGTGTTAACATCTGTTCCCATTTCCCTCTATCTTCCTTCCCCATAACCTCCCATCAGGACAGTGGCCATAGTCTTGGAAGCTCAGATACTGGCATTTCCTCCCCATTACTACAGAGGGCTCGGGCCCTGGCATTTAGCTCCTGTCCTCCCCGGTTCTATGCACCCACCATCCAGACTTCTCCCATCCCCATACTTCCTATCTTGCTTTGCTAGGTCGTTCTCCCTGCCGACTGCTCTTGTCTCCACTCTGACTGTCAAGGTCCATCTCAGGCGCCCCAGTTAGAAGCCTCCCTCTCTCTGCCCCTTAGCCTGTGCCCCTCCTGGACACAAATCACAGTGTGTGTGTTTGTGTCTGTGTGTGTGTGTGTGCGCGCGCGCATGTGCCTGCCTTCTTCCTGCCTCCTGACCAGGGCATCCCAGGGCTGGGACTGAGTCCCATCTTCTCAGGATCCCCTACTCCCTGGATGGATAGGGCCTGGGCCAGGGTGGGCATTGGTGAATGCCTGACACATTGAATCCGCTTCCTCTGAATCACAGATCACTGGAATATACACAGTGGAAGGGCTTTAGGGAAACCTCAGCCACTGCACTCATATTCAGACAGGGAAGCTACAGCCCAGAGGGGCAAAGGGACTTGCCAAGGTCACACAGCAAACCGGAGCGAGAACCTCTGGCTCCCCGACAAAACTTGTCTGTCTTTGACACCTGCAGGCAAAAGGCCCCCTTGAGAAGACAGGGAAATGTTCTTCTTGACTAAAAATTTCCTCCTCCATCCAATTGAGATCCAACGGGTCTCCCACTGCAGCCCCAGCTCATACCCCTGGGATGTGCCTCATTCTTTGATGAGCCTTTCTTGGCTATGCTAAGTAACCCTCCAAATGACTGGTTCTTCTTCCATCTTACGGATTGCCCAGATCCTTCCCTTCATTTCCCAGGTGAAGAAACTGAGGCTCAGAGAGAGAAGCAACTTGCCCAAGTTCACACAGCAGAGTAAAGTCTAGAACTCGGCCCACAGGTGCAGTGTGCAGAAACCCAACCACCGACTTACCTGGTTTTCAATTTTTCTTGGGTGGTCCCCACAGTCATGTCCTGCCGGCTCTCCTGTGGGGTCTCTCTGCTGTCCAGCATGCTGGGGTCCCCGTGTGGGCAGCCGTATCCAGCTCCAGAATTGCGTGGCATCTGCCTCGGGCTTCCACTGAAGACAGCTCAGTCACCCACTGTGAGAGGCTGGCCTTGAGTGGGCAGCGGGGGCAGGCATGGGGCGGGGGGAGGCGGCAACTAGAGTGACCCAAAGAGGCTCATTTCCTCTCTATTTTTAGAAGTTAAAAAAAAAAAAAAAAGCTCCTCAGTGAAGTTTCTCAGAATTAAAACTTTCCTCTTCTTTGTGGTTTTGTTTCACTCAAGATGAGGAGAATTTCAATGAAGCCAGTGTTCTTTTTGATGCAAATCTGCTCCGCTTCTCCCAGGAGGTCTGGCCAATGGGCTCAGGGCTTCTGGGCCCCCAGAAAACCTCCTCACTGGCTTTAAAAGGCCATAGTGGTTTTCAGCACAAATCCAGACCCATATCCTGAAGTGGCTGCTACCCCTGGCTGCATACACTCTGCACTCTTGACTTGCAGTCTGCCGAATGCTGCCCTGGGAGGGATCTCACCCACTCAGTCCACCTCCCCCAGGTCCTGCGTGGAGGCTGGAGATCTGAGGAGGGAGCCCACCCCGGCGGAAGGAAGGAGACATTTCCAACACTGAGAACTGTCACACGGTCTATAGAAGCATTTGCACTGAAGACATGATAGAGGCAACCGAGGAATGTGACTTTCCAGGGACATCTGAATAGAAGCCAGGACCTGCCCCTTCTTCTAAAGGAAGGAAGCATGTTACGGGTGGGTTTTCAGGCAGCCATAAAGAGATGGGAAATTCACATAGGACAAGGCCTTTTTCTGAATACCAAAAGTCTCACCTCTAAAACCGTGTATTCATTCCCCAGGGCTGCTGTAACAAAGTTCCACAAGTTGGATGGCTTCCAACAACAGAAATATATTCTCTCATGGCTCTGGAGGCCAGATGTTGGAAATGAAGATGTGCGCAGGGCCACACTCTGTCTAAGGCCTGTGCGCAGACTCTTCTTTGCCTCTCTCCCAGCTGCTGGTGGTCACTGGCCATCCTGGGTGTTCCTTGGCTTGCATGTGCATCTCTCCAGCCTCTGCCTCTGTCCTCACATGGCTGTCTTTCCTCTGTGTCAAAGCCTTGGTCCATTTTCTGTTGCTCTCACTGAATACCTCAGACTGGGTAATTCATAATGAAAATAGGCTGGGTATGGAAGCTCATGCCTTTAATCTCAGCACTTTGGAAAGCCAAGGTGGGAGGATCGCTCGAGCCTAGGAGTTCAAGACCATCCTGAGCAACATAGTGAGACTTTGTATCTTCAAAAAATAAAACAAAATTAGCTGGGTTCCACGCCGTGGTGTGCGCCAGTGGCCCCAGCCACTTGGGAGGCTGAGGTGGGATGATCACTCAAGTCTGGGAGGTTGAGACTGTAGTCATCCATGATTGCACCACTGCACTCCAGCCTGGGCAACCAGAGTGAGACCCTGCCTCAAAAAACAAAACAAACAAACAAATTTAAAAAAACACCAAAACACACACACACACACACACACACACACACAAAATTGATTTCTTAAAGCTCTGGAGGCTGGAAGTCCAATATTAAGATGCTGGCATCTGGTGAGGGTTTTCTTGCTATATCATAATGTGGAGGGCATCACATGGTGAGAGGGCAAGAGTGTGGTGCCAGCTCAGGTCTCTCTTCCTCTTGTAGTTTCCAGTTTCAACATGGGACCCCACCCTGATGACCTTTCCTAATCCTAATTACCTCCCAAGGGCCCCACCTCCAATCAACATAAGAATTTTGAGGTTAAGTTTCCAACATATGAAATTTGTTGGAAATTTTCCAACCATAGCAGTTTATGTTCCTATTTTCTCTTCTTACATGGACACCGGTCATTGGAGTAGGGCCTTCCCTGATGCCATAGAACTTCATCTTAACTAACTGTATCTGCAGAGACCCTATTTTCAAAAAAGATCACATTCTGAGGCTCTGGGTAGACATGAATTTGCTTGGGGACACAATTCAATTCCTTATACATTGTGTACAGGAGGTGTTAGTGAGGATACATATGAGATGTCCCCAAGAAGAAATAGGTCCAGCTGGGCCACAGGTGATGCTGTCTGGTGAAGGTAGGTAACTGAGAAAAAGCTGGGCTGCCTTCTATCAAACTCGCGGTCTCAGGCCACAGGCCCCCAAATGTTACCTTCCTAATGCTGTTGAAGGTACACTGAGCGGGAGGTCTGGGGTCCGGCTGCAAGGCCTGAATCTCCCACTGACTCGCCCTCCACCATGATCTTGGGCAGATCTCTGCCCTCTCCTGGCCTCAGTTTTAACTGCTTGAATCATGAGGGTGATGGCCTGGGGTGGGCCAAAGTGGCCACCAGCTCCAGCTGGACGTGAGAAGGTGATGGGGAGCCCTTTGCCCATGGGCTGATTGGAGGGATCCAGTGAGACACCACTGTAAGTGACAAGTCAGTGTCTCCCCACCCGAGGAGAACCATAATCAGAGAAAAAGACATAGAATGCTCAGCTCTGAAGTTCAAAAGCCTGGGTCAAGATGAAAGCCTGGGAAGGTTTGGAAAAATGTGTAAGTTTTTTATTCCCAACACCCCTTCCTTCCCCTTCCCTCAGATTCTTATAGATCCAGGGAACCAAGAAGGGCAAGATAGTTCAAACAGAGGCAAGGCCCTGGGGAGGGCCTTAAGAAGACCTTCCTTGGGCAGATCTTCCAGGTCTGAGCATAACAAGGACCTGAGGTGGCCCAAGAAAGCGACAGGGCCCCCAGAGTGCTCAGCACAGGCCACAGAGAAAAGATGGCTTCAAGGAACTAAGAGCAAAAAGGCCCAGCAGACCCCCTTGCCAGGGCAGTCAGTGAACTGAGGGTCAAGTGGCTGCTGGAGGAGAAAGTTGGTGGGCTGGCAACAGAGGCTAATGGGAACATGGTCATTCTGTAGTCACTGAGAACAGGGCTGACCCCACCTGGCAACCAGGACAAAGGGAACATAGCAACAGAAGTTCAAGGCTGGGACATGGTGCTGAAAAGGTCAGGCCGTAGTGGAGTCTGATTCAGCTGAACTTTTTGAATGGCTCATTTCATTTTGAAAAATAAAGACAAGCAACATGCCAGTTATTCTGTTTGCCCCAGATTCCCTCTCTACTCTCTCCCCTTGCTCTGTCCCCAGAGCTGCCCTGTGTGAGCATCCCTTGGGCTCCCAGCCTCTGGCCTCTGGTTGTCAGGCCAATGCCAGGTGGTGGCAGGACAGAAGGTGGAGAGAAAGAAAGGTTGGAGTTTTTATTCTCCTCCTTCCCTCCTGGCTGGCCACACTTTTGGCAGCAGGTGCATCCTTGTCCTTCTAGCAGCAGCCCCTCCGGCCAGCTCTGGCCTCAGGGGGAACAGTTCCTCCCCAGCTCCTTCAGGTCAGAAGTGTCTAGCTCCCTGCAGCTGCCTCACCATCCCCTGTGGTTCCCTTAACACTGTCCTCACCTCTTTGTCCCTTCATTAAGTTCTTCACCTGCCCCTTTTAAGGGGGCCATCTGTTTCTTGCAGAACCCTGACTGATACAGTGTAACATGAAAATGTACAAAGGGGACTAACTGCTTGATGAGTATGGGGTCTCCTTTTGGGGTGATGAACATGTTTTGAATCTAGATAGAGATGATGGTTGCACAACACTGTGAATGTACTAAATGTCACTGAATTGTACATTTTCTTTTTTTTATTTTGAGACAGGATCTCATTCTGTTGCTCAGGCTGGAATGCGGTGGTGTGACTGTAACTCGCTGCAGCCTCAAACTCCCAGGGTCCAGTGATCCTCCCACTTCAGCCTCCTAAGTGACTGGGACTACAGGCATGTATCACCATGCCTGGCTAATTTTTAAATTTTTTTGTAGAGACAAGGTCTTGCTATATTTCCCAGGATAGTCTTGAACTCTTGGCCTCAAAGGATCCTCCTGTCTCAGCCTCCCAAGGTACTGGGATTATAGGTGTGAGCCACCATGCCCAGCCATGAATCCTACATTTTAAAACAGTGAATTTAATGTTATGTGATTTTTACCTCAATAAAATGTTTTGAAAGGTACAAAAGGCTTCACAGTAAAAACTCAATTTTCCTCCCACTTTTCTGTCCCTCTCCTCACCATTCTTCACTCATTTCTTTTCTCCAGAGCCACCACTGTTAAAATATTTTTTTGCATCATTCTAGAAATATCTTGGATATATACAAATGCTAACATATGGCATACACAGTTTCATATCTTCTTATGCTTGACAACATTTGCTGGAGAACTTTTCATATTTTTGCCTGGAGAGCTTCCTGGTTCTCTTTTTAGGGGGTATGTATAGCATTCCATGGAAGGGCTGGCCCGAGATGCATTTCAACAGCTCTGTAGGATGAACATTTAGGTTGTTTTCAGTCTTTTGCTGTTACAGATGAAGCTGCGATGAATAATCTTATCCTTGCGTGGTTCGTACTTGAGCTAGTCTATCTCTAGGATAAATTCCTAGAAATGGGACACTACGACTTGACTAAGTTTAAACTTGAAAATGACAGAGTTTTTGTGAAACTGTTAACTGGGGGCTTCTTGCTCCCAGAGCTCCTAAGATGGCGGCGGGCCCCTTCCAAGATGGTGGCAAGCCTCATGTTCTCTGACCTGGGGTTCTTGGCCTCACGGATTCCAAGGAATGGAATCTGGGGCCATGTGGTGAGTGTTATAGCTCTATTAGAAGCTGTGGGTCACGGAAGAGAACCAGTGACTAGTGTTCAGCTCAATTAGGACGAACTCGGGCACTTAGCCGTGCAGGAATAATGGCAGCTTTTAGCCCGATCAGGAGCAGCAAAGGGCGCCTAGCTGGATCCGGAGCACAGTGGACACCCTGCTGGATCCGGAGGGATGGCAGTCAGTGGCGGGTCTGTGACTGCGACAAACAGCAGTGGTGGATGGTGAGTGAAAGCTCAGCTTGAGCCATAACAAACACAGACCAGAAGAGAGTGCAGTTGCAAGATTTAATAGAATGAAAACAGAGCTCCCATGCAAAGGGAGGGGACCCAAAGACGGTAGCTGTTGCTGGTTCCAATGCCTGGGTTTATATCCCGATCATTGTCCCTCCTGCTGTGCTCTCAGGCGATAGATGATTGGCTATTTCTTTACCTCCTTTTTTTGTCTAATTAGCATTTTAGCGATTAGACATTTAGCGATTTATTACCTGATTGTTCGGGTGTGAGCTAAGTTGCAAGCCCCGTGTTTAAAGGTGGATGCAGTCACCTTCCCAGCTAGGCTTAGAGATTCTTAGTCGGCCTAGGAACTCCAGCTAGTCCTGTCTCCCAGTCCCCCCTCTCAACAGGAAAACCCAAGTGCTGTTGGGGAGGCGGCCGACTACCACTCTAACTGCTCCTGCTGAACTAGGGCATAGTAGGGGTTGTGTAGCTAGGATTTCCTCTGGAGGGGTCGGCGACCCATTCCATGTCACCGTTTAGTTCTTGAGATAGTTTGTAGTAGAACTGA